TCTTAAGAGTGTGATCCCCTGCCAGTCGCGGTGGTTTACACCTATAATCCCAGCACTTTGGGAGGCCAAGGCGGATGGATTACGAGGTCAGGAGTTCAAGACCAGCCTGGCCAAGATGGTGAAACCCCATCTCTACTAAAAACACAAAAGTTAGCCGGGTGTGGTGGCAGGCGCCTGTAACCTCAGCTACTCTGGAGGCTGAGGCAGAGAATTGCTTGAACCTGGGAGGCAGAGGTTGCAGTGAGCTGAAATCGCACCATTGCATTCCAGCCTCGGGGACAGAGTGAGACTCCATCTTGGGAAAAAAAAAAAAAAAGACTGTGATCCCCAGGGATTTCTCACTTTCATGCTTGTCCACACTCAGTCTCCAGCAATTCATTACCATCTAAGTGTTTCTAACCACCTCATGGCTCCAGTAGCTTTTGCTCCAGATAAGCAGATTTTGGCTGTCTCTAGATAACCCTGTTTCTCCAGATTTTGGGCTGGTGGTTTGCCTTTCAACTTCAATTCTCTGATGGGTCTAAGAAAAGTCATTGCTTTTCCATTTGTCCAGCTTTTTCTTGTAAGGATAAGGTGCTCAACTTTTTCTCTTGAGACAGTCTCACTCTGTCATTCAGGCTGGAGTGCACTGGTGCAAACACGGCTCACTGCAGTCCCACCCTCCCAGGCTCAGGTGATCCTTCCACCTCAGTTTCCCAAGTAGCTGGGACTACAGGTGAGTGCACCATCCCTGGATAATTTTTTGTATTTTTAGAGACTGGATTTTGTCATGTTGCCCAGGCTGGTCTTGAACTCCTGTGCTCCAGTAATCTGCCTGCCTCAGCTTCCCAAAGTGCTGGGATTACAGGTGCATACCACCACGCCAGGCTTGGTGCCAACTTTCAAGCTCTTTACCTGTAGAAGTTTGAACCAGAATTCTCTATTTCACTTTGGTCATTTCCTTCCATCCATCTGAACTGCTGTGTCTCTTCTTGTCCTCACATTTGCCATGACTACTGTCCCTCTTAGTGAGTCTTTTCACGAGTGGATTTGAGGAAAGGGCTGGTGTTTGACCTCTCCTGTCTGTTAGCACTTTGCACAATCAAGTGCTTGGTGCTGCTAGTTGAGTCCACTGGGTCACTTTCATTTTTGGCACTCACTCTACAGTAAAGAGCATCTGGGATGAGGTGCTGTCGCCCAGCATCCTCTAAGCTTCCTTTGCCCTTTTAATTTCTCTGGCCTCCAAGTCAGTCTTATTTTCTTAGCAAGGTTGGAATAAGGCAAATTCACTTGCTGTAAAAAAGTGATTTCTCAAAATCAGCATGTTAAGTCCTTTTTTTTCTCAATTTCATTTTGAGACGGAGTCTCACTCTATTGCCTGGCTGGAATGCAGTGGCACGATATTGGCTCACTGCAACCTCTGCCTCCCAGGTTCAGGTGATTCTCCTGCCTCAGCCTCCCCAGTAGTTGGGACTACAGGCGCCTGCCACCACACCCGGCTAATTTTTGTATTTTTTTTTGGTAGAGACAGGGTTTCACCAGCTGGCCAGGATGGTCTTGAACTCCTGACCTCATGATCTGCCCAGCTTAGCCTCCCAAAGTACTGGGATTATAGGTGTGAGCTACCATGCCTGGCTTTTCTCAATTTCTTGATTTCTTTTTGTAATGACTTAGTAAATAGGTAGATCAGATCTGACCAAGGAAATCATAGGACCTCCTAGCTAAATGACCGAACCTGACAGTTTCAGAATTACTTAGGAAGCTTTAAAAATGAAAATCCTAAACTCGGTCCTAAGAGAGTAATTGTGGTGGGCAGCTATATTTAGGAAAATACAATACTTCTGTTCACATCCAAAAGAGCTACCTGCACCTGAACTTAAAATCAAAACTAAAAAACATACTAGGGAGACAAAGGCAATATACTATTAGAAAAACCAACCAAACCAAAGCTATCCATTCATAACAAAGGATATAGGAATTGTTTCTTAACATTCACCCTTTCACTCATTCATTAACTGTACTGAAAGTCATAGGCCTGGCTGGGTGTGGAGGCTCCCAAAATCCCAGCACTTTGGGAGGCCAAGGTGGGTGGAGCACCTGAGGTCAGGAGTTTGAGACCAGCCTGACCAACATGGTGAAACTCCGTCTCTACTAACAAAATGCAAAATGAACTGGGCATGGTGGTACATGCCTGTAATCCCAGCTACTTGGGAGGCTGAGGCAGAAGAACTGTTTGAACTCGGGAGGCAGAGGTTGCAGCGAGCCAAGATCACACCACTGCACTCCAGCCTGGGCAACACAGCAAGACTCCATCTCAGAAAAAAAAAAAAAGTTATAGGTCCTGCCCACAAGAAAGAAGTACACCAAGCCACGGCCTTTAGACTCAAACGTCTGTATGATACCATCCTGTCCCGGTTAACCTTGAAGAGTTTACTCAAGCTTTCAAAACCCAGTCTTCTCATTTGTAAAAATAACATTATTTACTTCACAGGGAAGTTCTGTGACAAAGGTCATAGTGGAATTATTACAAACTTATTCTATCCTAAAACAGTTTTAACTCCTTTCCTAGCCTAAACACTGGCATATTGATAGCAGTTGGCACTCACGACTATTAATTTATATGCCTGGCAGTGGGCTAAACTCTGTCCATCCATACCTCAAACACATTTTATCTGTAAAGGCCTGGGGGCCAAGCCTTATTCTTTCATTGGACATATTCATCCCACTCGTGTAACCAAAAAAGGCAAAGCAAGCGGAGGCAACAAGACAGACTTTTCATCTAGGGTGAGACCATGGGATCTAATAAAAAGCAGATGCTCCTCCTCCCCTAACACCCCTACCCCCAAGTAATAATCACTACCGGTAGGAAACCAAATACCAGATAAACCTAGTCAGGAACTGCCATTGCAAATGAGTATGAGTGGTACCATTTGCTAGTACTACCATTATATCTATGACTACCATTGCCAAGCGATAACTATTATTACGTTTTATATGTTCTGACACTGTTCTATGAATTTTACATTTAATCCTCAATGTAAGTTACCAAAGTTACCACTGATATTGACCTTTTATAACTGGCATGACTTGAGACAAGGCAATTAAATACTTAAATAATAGACACAGAGCCTGAGATTCCTTAGAATTACCCATCTATTTATTGCTTTGTAACTCACTGCCAAATTAATTTTTTTTTTTAGGAAGACTCTTAAAACCCTCTCCACTATGTAGTTAGAATTAAGAGAGCACCTGCATTTTTACTTCAGCGGGTTAAAGGTATAGTTTTACTATAAACCAAGGTCTCAATTTCCTAAGAGACAACACTGAAAAGTGCCTTCCTACATTAGGCAAAAACATGTTGGCTGGAATAAACTTTTTACCTACTTTAAAACCGTTGACTTTTCAAGAGCATGCCTGCCCTTAGGAAGTTGTGGTAGTGGTTAAAAGTGGGCAGGCTGGTACAACCCCTCCTAAACCACACTATTCCTTGTCTGTAAGTGATCAAAATGAAGACTCCATGGTGAGTGGAAACTTTGACACTACTGACATCTTTCTGTTGTGGGAGGCTGGCTTGTTCACTGTTAGGTTTAGCAGTATCTCTGACTTTCAACTGTCAGATTCCAGTAACATTCCCCAGTTGAGACAACCAGAAATATCTTCAGAATTGCTAAACATCCCCTGAGGAACAAATCATCCCTGGTTGAGAACCATTGCTTTATTTTAATATTTAACAGAAAAAAAAATTCTTTTGAGATGGTCTCTCACTCTGTTGCCCAGGCTAGAATGAAATGGCATGATCTTGGCTCACTGCAGCCTCAAAATCCTGGGCTCATGATATACTTCCACCAAGCCAACCAAGTAGCTGGGATTATAGGTGCACACCACCATGCCCAGCTAATTTTTAAACTTTTTGTAGACATGGTCTCACTATGTTATCCAGGCTGCTCTCAAAACTCCTGGCCTCAAGCAATCCTCCTGCCTTGGCCTCCCAAAGTGCTGGCACTATAGGCACAAGCCACTGTGCCTTGCTGAGAACCACGGCTTTGGAGGAATTATTTGGTTTTGCAGAGCTACCATTATTCTGTTCTGCATACCCAAACTGACAGCCTTTGACTTTAATAATTCTCTAGTTGACTGAAATAAAATTTACATTTTGTTTAGCTTCGTACCTTCTTACTCTACAGTGATTGAAACGTCTAGTATTAGGGGACTGTGAAATACTGTTTGAGCAACAAAAGGCCTGAGGGGCAAGTATGACTTCTTCCTGTGACTTCCATCTGCTTTGTGGACATCCTAGTTTGGCCAAGATCTAAGCGTGTTTCCTTTTAAATGGACTGATTCATCTTCAGAGGAGCGCCTCTGCTGTAGGAGGAACAAATTTCTTTATCTTGAGATTTAACTCCAAGTCACAATGGGTCCCCAAACCAGTAGAAGTTGTATAAACTCCAACCAGAAACCACATTCTAGCTGAAAGGTCTGACTACAAGTTAGGCAGCAAGAAGTCATGTATTTTCTGGTCTCTTATCATTTTTATAGGTCAGGCTAGAAGATTGTGCCCTTCTTTTAAAGAGGATAAAGTGTGCCTACTATCCCAAACCAAATTAAAGAGAAAGCACAAAGCTGCTGACTAAGGAGAGTTATTATACCCTTGCCAAGTTTGTTTAAACAAGTCACTCAGTTTAATTAGGAAAAAAATTCTTCTGAAAAATAGGAGAAATTGTATTGACTTATCTTTAAAAGTCCTTTTAATAAACGACTTGAGATTATAAAGCATTTTTCAAATACAAAAAGTGCTTCACAATGATTCAGTAAGTCTTAAGGAATACATTTTTTAGTACATCATTTTTATTGTTGTTGAAAATACCCATTCAATGGGTAGAGGTATATTTGATATCACCACTGTTTAAAGGGAATGGAGTTACAGGAATGAGAAGTATATAATCAGTAAATAATCCATCTCAACAAGTGACTTAAGTAGTCACTCATAGAGAGCAAAGAAAAGCTGGAGGCAACACAATCAGTGCATATCAGAAATGCATTTTAATTTTTATTTGAAAACAACTTAAATTTTTAGACAAATGATTTTAGTATATAAATTTGATTTTGTTTTTATACAGAATATAAAGATTTCCCTCATTAATCTTCCATGTGAAGGGTAGTACAAGCCTGAAGGAAGATGCTTGCTGCACACAAGTATGTATCTTATGTGTGCAGTGTTGGAAACCAATGGTGTAGTGCTCCTACACATAAATTAGGTCAAGTGACATAGACACATTAAAAGGGGGAAAGAGAAATATTCTAGTTAATCAAATGCAAGAAGCAAAGAAGACACAAAAACTGTGCAAATAAGACCAAGCCAGCAACTTTAGTTAGGACACTGCAGATTACATTGGAATAACAGGTTTGTGAGGCTATAGTGTGCACCACATTAAAACAGCAAGAAAGAGCTATTCATATAGAAAGGTATGGAATGAGGGATTTTCACTAAAGCAAATTAACTTCTTGTCAACTGCCAAAATAAAACCGAGCATGAGTGTTAGTATACTGAAGGCATGTTATACCAGTTTCTGAGCAGCATGCTAAAAGTTAGAACTTCTTCACTGGTGCATATCAATCATTAATAGTCACGTTTTTGCCCCTTCTTGCCAAATTTCAGGCATGTCTTATTTTAGACGGAGTATAGCTTTTATCTATTATTTCATCTTGTAAAAACATGTGAAGACAACGTTCATTCTGTGCCAGAGGATGACCAGCAACCCTGAGAATAAAAAAATATAAATTTAGTCCAACATTTATACAAGGGGAGGAGTTCAAAACACACATTTTAAGGTTAAGAAGCATGTATAGGATGGATGAGGTGGCTCATGCCTGTAATCCCAGCACTTTGGAAGGCCAAGACAGGTGGATCACCTGAGGTTGGGAGTTTGAGACCAGCCTGACCGATATGGAGAAACCCTGTCTCTACTAAAAATACAAAATTAGCCAGGTGTGGTGGCTCATGCCTGTAATCCCAGCTACTTGGGAGGCTGAGGCAGGAGAGTCACTTGAACCCAAGAGGCGGAGCTTGCAGTGAGCCAAGATTGCACCACTGCACTCCAGCCTAGGCAACAAGAGCCAGACTCTGTTTCAAAAAAGGTTATTCTGGAGCTCAAAATAGGTTACTGTGAGCTGAGATCATGCCATTGCACACCAGCCTGGACAACAAGAGCAAAACAAGCATGTTATTATTATTATTTTTGAGGTGGAGTCTCACTCTGTCACCCAGGCTGGAATGCAATGACTGATCTTGGCCCACAGCAACCTCTGCCTCCCGGGTTCAAGTGATTTGGTGCCTCAGCCCCCCAAGTACCTGGGACTACAGGTGTATGCCACCATGCCCAGCTAAGTTTTATATTTTTACTGGAGACAGGATTTCACCATGTTGGTCAGGCTGGTCTCATACCCCTGACCTCAAGTAATCGGCCCACCTCAGCCGCCCAAAGTGTTGAGATTAATTAACCTCAGCCACCCAAAGTGTTGAGATTACAGGCATGACCCACCATGCCAAGCCAAGAAGCATGTACAATTTACTAATAAGTATCATTCTGGACTGTCCATAAATCTATGCACTAACAACTAATGGTATATGTTCTTTTGTTTGGTTCACAACTGTAATTTAGAAAACATTTAATCCAAACTTTTCACTGCTTCTTTGTACACATATACCCAGTTAGCTTCTTTACATATTAGCTGGTGTTCTCATAAGAAACGTAAATAAATTTTAATGTTAAAAGTGAAACATGTCAATGGATCCTAAGAATCATTTTTTTTTGAGACAAAGTGTTGCTCTGTCACCCAGGCTGGAGTGCAGTGGTATGATCTCAGCTCATTGCAACCTCTGCCTCCCAGGTTCAAGTGCTTCTCCTGCCTCAGCCTCCTGAGTAGCTGAAATTACAGGCGCGCACCACCATACCGTACTAATTTTTGTATTTTTAGTAGAGAAAGGGTTTTTGCCATGTTGGCCAGGCTGATCTTGGAACTCCTGACCTCAAGTGATCTGCTTGCCTCGGCCTCCCAAAGTGTTGGGATTATAGGCGTGAGCCACTGCACCTGGACAGAATCTATTTTAAAGAGAAGATACAGGATTGGTGTTAGAAATACAACGAGGTGGGCCGGGCACAGTGGCTCATGCCTATAATCCCAGCACTTTGGGAGGCCGAGGTGGGTGGATGACGAGGTCAAGAAATCGAGACCATCCTGGTCAACAAGTTGAAACCCCATCTCTACTAAAAATACAAAAATTAGCAGGCCATGGTGGTGCACGCCTATAGTCCCAGCTACTCGGGAGGCTGAGGCAGGAGAATTGCTTGAACCCAGAAGGCGGAGGTTGCGGTGAGCTGAAATCATGCCATTGCACTCCAGTCTGGGTAACAACAGTGAAACTCCGTCTCAAAAAAAAAAAAAAAAAAAAATACAATGAAGTTCAACAAAAGTCCCAAATAGTTTAAAAAAAAAAAAAAAAAAACAGGCACAAATATCCAGGTATTTTGTTTGTTTCTGCCTGCTTAAAACCAGACTGGGCTACCAGACTCCTATTTCAGAATTAAAAACCAGCTAATATAGGCCAGGCAGGGTGGCTCATACTTGTAATCCCAGCACTTTGGGAGACAAAGGCAGACATATCACTTGAGGTCAGGAGTTCAAGATTAGCCTGGCCAACACGGCAAAACCCTGTCTCTACTAAATATACAAAAATAACCCAGACATGATGGTGTGCACCTGTAATCCCAACTACTCAGGTGGCTGAGGCACAAGAATCACTTGAACCTGGGAGGCGGAGATTGAGCCACTGCACTCCAGCCTGGGTGACAGAGCAAGACTTTGTCTCCAAAAAAAAAAAAATCTAATATAGTACTGCCTTCTCCAAAAGGAAAACAGGTTCATAGACAATAAAGACTGAGTGCTACAGTAGATAACCAAGGGCTTTATGTAACCCTTTCTGTTTACCACTCATGGATCTTCAAATCACTAGATAAAATTTAAAGTGTAAGCTTACATTACCATATTCTGTAGGATTTGGTTTACTTCTTCTAGTTTAAGGCCAATGCACAATTACAGTGAGGTCTTTCTTGGCATAAATCTTTCTATCACTTTGGCTTTCTATTACTTTACAAAATAGCTGTATTTCAAATGGGAATAAAATGAAAAGCTAAAAATACTGGTTTGAGCTTATCAAGAGTTTCTAAAGTAAAAGAGAAACAATCCTAAGTCTTCTTAACATTTTCAAAAGAATACATTTTACCGTGAAAATTAAAAACATGCACCTTTATACAAGACAAGCTGATAATATCTCCATCTGCAATCAAACAAGATGATTGCAAATATATTGTAAGTTTTATTGTTCATGCTAGAACATACTGTAAATCAGAATCATAAGTAAAACTGTGTTTTTTAAATGCTGTAATTTTAAATGTAATTTGCATAAATTAACCAAGAAAAACAAATACAAAACTTAGGTCAACACAAAGATGTTCATTTCAATCACTCAAGTGTGTTAATATTTATCACATGATATTTAACTTGTCAGATACTTTTACTTTGATTAAATGATATGAAAAGTCAGGAAATGGCTAAAAGAAAAGGCAACAGTGCAGTTTAGCTTAACATCTAAACTATAGTAGTCACTTAAAGTAGTCTCGAAACATACTTCACTCCTACACTTTAAGGAATAGGAAGCACTTACTTGTTTATAAACTGCTCCAGCCCTTGTTTTCTTTCCTCAATAAAATTGTCATCAAATATTCCATCATCGCCTCTAAAAGGAAGCTGACGCAAAAACGCTTTCCCAGGGAGTGGGGGAACTACAACCTAAAACATGAAGACAGAAAGTTCTTGATGATGCTGCCTGGATTGTGAAAATTTATAGAGCACAACATGAAGACAAAGCATGTCCTCACTATAAAAGCCATCACCTGGTCAAACTAGTTTAAATATAAAAGAGCAAAAAATACACTGAAAAAAGACCAAATGTTTTGAAGACAAATGCAGAACAGCTCATCAGACAAAAGCTCCTCAATTCAAAGGAAGGATTCACAACTTATATCATTTTTCTCGGCCTTATCAAAGCACAGGTATACAAAGAGAACACTCACGGTACTGAAATAAAGGTTACCATGCCCCTCAGACACTTGTGATGCCACTTTGAGAAGGCAATGCCTTATTGCAATGGACACTGCAGAGATCAAAATCAACTCTCAATTAAATGAAGAAATCTTAACAATGTTCTCACTGCAACATGGTTAGATAAGAATTCTGGTTTCTTCAATCTCTTACCATCTGCATATAGCATTTCCTACTTGTGTTTGAGGTGAAGACAAAATATCAATAACTCTAGTTGTCACTCTTCTGTTTCCTAAATTGAGAAATAAGTCAACTTTCTCTGAAATGCCCTATCCTGCTGTCTTTTCCCAAAGACTTCTTATTTCTTCCTTCCCACACTATAGGAAGATCCTAAATTGTCCCTTTCAAAGCCTAACCAAGGGTCAACTCCTGCTGATCTCTCCCTTCTGGGAATTAACTGGAGCTCAAATATTATTCTGGGCCAGGTACAGTGTCTCACAACTGTAATCCCCACACTCTAGGAGGCTGAAGCAGGCGGGAGGACTGCTTGATGCCAGGAGTTCAACACAAGCCTGGGTACATGTTTATAAAAATAAAAAAACTTAGCTGGGTGTGGTGGTGTGATCCTGTAGTCCCAGCTACTTAGGAAGATGGCTTGAGTCCAGAAGTTCGGGACTACAGTGAGCTAAGATCACATTGCTGCACTCCAGCCAATAAAAAAGTTTAAATGAAATGATAACATTTTGTATCATTTAAACAAACTAAAAGTATCTGACTGCCAGCTCTCCTCTTCAAAAAATAAAATAAACTTTAAAAAATGTTATTCTGGCCGGGCACAGTGGCTCATGCCTGTAATCCCAACACTTTGGGAGGCCAAGGCAGGCAGATAACCTGAGGTGGGAAGTTTGAGACCAGCCTGACCAACGTGATGAAACCCCATCTCTACTAAAAAATACAAAATTAGAGGGGCATGGTGGCACATGCCTGTAATCCTAGTTACTTGAGAGGCTGAGGCAGGAGAATCTCTTGAACCCAGGAGATGGAACTTGCAATGAGCCAAGACTGCACCGTTGCACTCCAGCCTAGGCAACAAGAGACAGACTCCGTCTCAAAAAAAGTTTATACTGGAGCTCAAAATACTTGTTTTGATTAAATAACATCTAGCTATTTCAAAGATTAGTTTGGTTTCTCCACCCTGGCACTACTGAGAATCAGATAATTTTTGTATTGGGGCGCTTTCTTGTGCATTTTCTTTCTTGAGATGGGGTCTTGCTCTGTTTCCCAGGCTGGAGTGCCATGATACGATCATGGCTCACTGCAGTCACAACTTCTCTAGACTCAGGTGATCCTCCTGCATCAGCCTCCTGAATAGCTGGGACACTACAGGCTCATAGTGTGCCACCACACCTGGCTACTTTTTCCTATTTTTTTGTGGAGATGGGGTTTCAACATGTTGCCCAGGCTGGCATTCTTTTCTTTAGCAGCATCCCTAGCCTCTACTCACTAGAAATCAGTAGCACCCCCAGATGAGACAATAAAAAATGTCTCTAGATAGTGTCAAATGTCTCTTGAGGGATAAAACTGTCTTTGGTGGAAAACCCCCAAGCTATCATATTAATGTCTTCAAAACAAGAACCCTGTCTTAGGCTTCTTGTAGTTATTTTAGGAAAAACTGGAGAGACAACAGAAGCTCAACCAACCACTTAGCTGGATCCTTACCTTAAACCCAAAGAGACAAATATGTAAGCAAACAATTAGAACAAGAAGAACTATAAATAGTAAACTGATACACACACACACACACACACACACGTGTGTGTGTTTCTTTTCACCAGTAATAAAAACTACATATATTTAAAAAAAAATTAAAACTTTAAACCCTTGATACAGTTTCTACAGAGGAGTTTATCCTCAAACAAAATTCAATAGGATAAAAAGGGAAAGATCAAGTTGACTTCATATAGATTAACAAAAAACAAAATAAAAACAAAAAGAAACAAAAAACCCAAATGTCCAACATAAACCTTATAATCCCTTCCTGGATTTACTCCCCCCAGATGACCAATGATGAAGATATCTAAGGATTTATCTCTGTAAATTTATGCTAGCATTCTTAGATCTCACACCTATGTTAGCATCTGTTTAGCTGAGAGTTAAAATCTGCAGGGACTTTTTATAACTGAGAAACAAAGGAATACTAACTGTTAAGTTCCAGTAGAATGGCTATCTGGTAGGCAAGGAAAAATACCTCTATCTACACAATTATTATTTAAAAAAAAAAATCTAAAACCAGCATGTTAAGTAAATGCCTACCATTAATTCAAGATAGAATTTAGCATGAAATTTAACAAAGTATGGCTCAAGGACATCAGTTAAATAAAGAAGAAAAATGATAAAAAAATTTAAGGCTATATATATAAAATTAAATATATGTAAATTTCATATGTATGGGAAGTTTTAGAAAAGGATTACTATGCATTATCCTCTGCAGAGATAGGAATCATTCAAATGGATGGTGAGGTGGTAGACAATAGGATTAATGATCTACAAAAATCATAAATGGCTTGTCCAGCTAAGATTCTAAAGATTCTCTTCTACACCAAATTAGTTTTGCCGAAGCAGTCTGAAAATATCTAATCAGAATTCTAACATCAGTTTGGGTGTGATCGCTCAAACCTGTAATCCCAGCACTTCAGGAGGCCGAGGCAGGCAGATCACCCGAGGTCAGGACTTGCAGACCAGCCAGGCCAACATGATTAAACCCCATCTCTACTAAAAATACAAAAAAATTAGCCGGGCGTGATAGTGCATGCTTGTAACCCAGCTACTCAGGAGGTTGAGGCAGGAGAACTGCTTGAACCTGGGAGGCAGAGATTGCAGTAAACTGGGATTGCACCACTGCACTCCAGCCTGGACGAGAGCTACACTCTGTCTCAAAAAATAATAATTATTATTATAACACCAATTTAAAAGTCATAAATGCAAAGATATGTGTGTTCATTTGGAGTGATAGACAGGAGGGTATTTGGTGAGCATAATATATTGAAAGCTAACGCAAACTAGATTAAAAGCTGAAAGATCTGACCATAATACAGGTCAGCTAATTTCTAGCTTAGTTTAACAGATCTTAAGTAAAAGTACTAATATACTACAAAATAACTTGATTACATTGTTCTTAGCAATACTATAATATGAGTAAAACTTTCAAATGGATTTAACTCTCAATATATTAAACTGGTCTAACATTAAATGTGAAGTATTGTGCTTCAAAGGACATTATCAACAAAGTGAAAAACAATCAATAGACTGGGAGATATATGCAAATTATGGATCTGATAGGGACCTCTAAGAGTCATATTTTCTTGACATAACTTTGTAATAAAAAGATAACTCATTTAAAAAGGCAAAAGATCTCAATAAAGGTTTCTTCAAAGATACATAAATGGCCAATAAGTACACGAAAAGAAGATCAACATTAGAGGCCATGAGAAATAAAAATCAAAATCACAATGCAACACCCCTTTACAACAGTAGGATAGCTATAATGAAGACAAGCAATAGCAAGTGTTAGTAAGGATGGGGAGAAAAGTAGAACCTTGCATCGCTGGTAAGAATGTAAAATTATGCAGCTGTTTTGGAAAAACAGTCTGCCAATTCCTCAAAAGGTTAAAAAGAGTTATGATACCACCCAGCAATGTACTGATAGGTATATACCGAAAAGAAATGAAAACACGTGCAGACTGAAACCTATGCACTAATGTTCACAGCAGCATTACTAATAATAGCAAAAAAGTCGCATCAAATGTCCACCAAATAAGTGGGTAAATAAAATGTGGTATAAGCATAGAATAGGATATTATTTAGGAATAAAAAGAAGCAAAGTACTGATGCATGTTATAAAAGCATAAACGTGAAAACATGTTAAGTGAAAGAAGCCAGACACAAAAGATCGCATATTCTGGACTTCCATTTATATATGTCCAGAATGGGCAAATCCACAGAGAAAGGAGACTAGCAACTGGATGCCTTAGGCTGATAAGGAAGGGTTGGGGAGAAATCAGCAGTGATTACTAAGGGGGACAGGGTTTCTTTTATTGGGTGATAAAAATGCTCTAAAATTGACTAGTGCTCTGCAGTAGCGATGGTTGCTCAACTCCGTAAATATATTAAAAACTTTAAATGGGTGAATTGTATGATATGTAAATTATATCTCAATTAAGCTGTTACTAAAAACAAAAGCAAAATATACATTTGGCAAAAGTTTATTAAACATTTTCAGTGTGCCACATGTCATGCAAAGCCCAAAGCCTATGTATCAAGACACTTCTCAGCTAGGTACAGTGGCTCATGTCTGTAATCCCAGCACTTTGGGAGGCCAAGGCAGGAGGATTACTTGAGTCCAGGAGTTTAAGACCAGGCTGGGCAACATAGTAAAACCTCATCCTTATAAAACATTTTTTTTAATTAGCTGGACATGGTGGCTCATGCCTGTAATTCCAGCTACTTGGGAGGCTGAGGCAGCAGAATCACTTGAGACCAGGAGTTGGAGGATGTTATAGTATGCTATCACATGCCACTGTATTCCAGCCTGGGCAACAGAGCAAGACTCTGTCAATTAACCAATCAGTCAATTTCCTAACCATCTGTCATTTGTATATACTGAGTTATAAATCTTTATTCCCTAATAGAAAAATATTTCAACTCCATTTGTTGAATTCCCTTCCCACTTAATGACAATGTTATTTTTGTTATGAACTAAAATCCCTATAAATACATGGATCAAAGTCTAAACTCTATTACATTCCACTAATCTACTTGCCCAACCTAAAGCAATATATATGGCATAACAGTGTGTTCATCAGAGATGAACCACATAAGATAATAATGGTGGTGCCCTAAGATTATAATGGAGGTGAAAAATTCCTATCGCCTAGAGATGTCTTGATGATCCTGACCCTATGTAGGCCTAGGCTATAATGTGTATTTGTGACTTAATTTTTAACAAAAAAGTTAAAAAAATTAGAGAAAAGCTTAAAGAATATAAAGAACATATTTTTGTGCAGCTGTTTGATATGTTTGTGTTTTAAGCTAAGTGTTATTACAAGAGTCAAAAAGTTAAAAAAGTACAAAGTTTAAAAAGCTAAGGTTAATTTATTATTGAAGAAAAATATTTTATAAATTTATAAATTATAAATTTCAATGTAATGTTTATAAAGTCTACAGTAATAAACAGTAATATCCTAGGTCTTCACATTCACTTACCATGTGCTCACTGACTCACCCAGGACTTCTAATCCTGCAAGCTCCATTTATGGTAAGTGCCCTATACAGTTGTACCATTTAAAAAATCTTCCATGCTGTACTTTTTACCTTATCTTTTCTATGTTTAGATGCACAAATGCTTCCCACTGTGTTAAACTGCCTATAGCATTCAGTACAATAACATACTGGATAGGCTTGTTGTCTAGCAGCAATAGGCATACCATATAGCCTAGGTGTGTAGTGGACTACATCACCTGGGTTTGTGTGAGTACACTCTGTGATGTTTGCACAAACAATGAAATCGCCTAAGGACGCATTTCTTAGAATGTATTCTCATCAGTAAGTCCCATATGACTATACCACACTGTTTGAATTACTATAGCCTTAAGATATGTTTTGATGTCTGGCATGACAAATACCTGCTGCCCACTATATATTTTTTTTGGTTATTCTTGAGTGACCTAAATTTTAAAAATTCGGATTCTAAAGCTCATATATAAATCTGCAAGTTTATAGATAGCCCTACTGAAATTTCTACTAGAAACTTATGAATTTATAAATAAGTTAGAAAATACTCTACTTTATGCATGTCTCTGCTAATATGTCACCTATGATTGAGGCCTTCCCCTTGTGCTCCATATGAGAGTGGCTCCTCTGGCACTTCCTACTCCCCTTAATTTTTTTTGAGATTCCCATCTGACATCTATATATTTTACTGTATTTTTCCTGCCTTCTCTTCAACCCCCACTCCAATTTACCTAATAGGATATAAGCACTATAAAAGAGGGGACCTTAATTTGTTCACAGCTCCACCTGTAATGCCTAGAACACAAAGAATGAGCTCTCTAACATGTCTGTAAAATAAATGAATCTTTAAAAGCAAATATTCCAGACAAGGAATACATTACCCTTTTTTTTTTTTTTTGAGATAGGGTCTGGTTCTGGTGTCCATGCTGGAGTCTGGTGGCGACACTGTAGCTCAGTGCTTCCTGAGCTCAGGTGATCTTCTTGCCTCAGCCTCCTGAGTGCTGAGGCTACAGGTGCGTGTCACCATGCCTGGCTAATTTTTGTATTTTTGGTAGTGATGGGGTTTCACATATTGCCCAGGGTGGTCTCGAACTCCTGGGCTCAAGTGATCCACCCGTGCTGGCCTCCCAAAGTGCTGCGATTATAGATGTAAGCCACTGCACCTGGCCCCTCTTTATTTAGGCCTTCTTTTGTCTTTCAGTAAAGTTTTAGAGCTTTCTTAACATGAATTTTGTATTTCTAGTTTTACTCATATTTAAAAATTTTGGAAGAGATGGGGCCTCACTATGTTGCCCAGGCTGGTCTTGAACTCCTCCTGCCTCAGCCTACCAAAGTATTGGGATTACAGGCATGAGCCACCAGGCCTAGCCTCCATTACAGTTTTGTTGGAATGCTATGATTTGCATATGTTGTGCTCATATCCAGCCACTTTTATCTTAAGCTAGAAATAGAAGGAAAACGTCCTTATTAAACTTGAGAAATGAGTACAAACTAGCCTTCATCTAGTTCAGGACTCCTACCATACCCGCTTCTTTCTACCTACTTTCTAGTCACAAAATAACTTCATCATTCTGAGCACTCCATGCCTTTCCGTAACTCCTTGCCTCAGATGTCATTCTGAGGGTAGGGCTGAAATGAGAGACATCAGAGTGAGACCTTGCTTTAATTTATTTTGAAGCCAAAGCTACCAAATTCTCTTCCAAGAGAAGATAAGGCATGTAACAATGTTTTTAAATTGCAGTCAGCAACCAATTAGTGGATCAATAAATGCTAATCCGAAGAATATCAGCACATATCAAACAGAGTGAGGTCATTACTGTTTTATGAAACTTATGTTACATGAACATATGTGATAAAAAAAACTTACGTGTCAGTAAAACAAAATTGGAAATACATTGACATTTATAAAACATATTGAGGAACAGAAACTTGGCGGGAAGATGAAATAGAACAATGAGGGAAAGGAAGGAAGTAATAGCAAGAAGGTTCTAAGAAGTGTTATTCAAGTGTGAGTCAGCAAATACCTTGACTGGGCCAAAGTAGACAAGAGATAGAGTTGTAAGGAAAAAATTAGAGTCTTCCTCTATAAAATGACATCGAACTATTAAAAAAAAATCATATTTGCTTGTACCCATTTTATTCAAGATCACTTTCCTGAGAGTATTAAGCATTAAAACTTGGAATGTTTTGCTTTCAAGTTGCATTGCAAATCATTCTTACCTTGCTCTCTCTTTCTAATTCACTTCGCAGCCATTCAAAGTCACTGTATCTTCTTCTAACAGTAGATTCTTTCAGCTTGAAAATAGGAAGATTTGTCTGAAACAAAAAAAGTTACTCCTAAATTGAGCACATTAAGAAAACTTCAAAATAATGGGGGGATGGGGGATCTAGGCTTGCAACTTGATGACATGGCAAGCTTGATTCCCTTAACAAAAGAAATCATAACTTTTTTTTTGAGACACAGTTTTGCTCTGCCACCCAGGCTGGAGAGCAATAGCATGATCTCAGCTCACTGCAACCTCCTCCTCCTGGGTTTAAGTGATCCTTCTGCCTCAGTCTCTAGAGTAGCTTGGAATATAAGCACCTGCTATCATGCCCAGCTAATTTTTATCTTTTTGTAGAGAGGGGATTTCACCATGTTGGCCAGGTTGGTCTTGAATTTCTGACTATCCGCCTTGGCCTCCCAAAGTGCTGGCATTACAGGTGTGAGCCACTGCGACCAGCTGAAATCAAGACATTTTAAAGATGACCTTTTATCCGTAAAATAAAACTTCGCTAGTTCTTTTTTTTTGAGACAGAGTCTTGCTCTGTCACCCAGGCTGGAGTGCAGTGGTGCAATCTCAGCTCACTGCAACCTCCACCTCCTGGGTTCAAGTGATTCTCCTGCCTCAGCCTCCTGAGTAGGTGGGATTACAGGTACCCGCCACCACGCCTGGCTAATATTTTTGTATTTTTAGTAGAGGCGGGGTTTCACCATGTTGCCCAGGCTGGTCTCAAACTCCTGACCTCAAATGATCCACCAACCTTGGCCTCCCCAAGTGCTAGACTTACAGGCCTGAGCCACTGCCTGGCCTGCTAGTTCTTTAAAAGTATGTTATTTACACAAGAATACAACTTTCAAAATGTACCTTTGCCTGCAGGCTTTTGAATGTCATTCTACCTGAGGTTATTTGCATAAATGTAGGTCATTTTTAAATTATTTCAGTGAGCTTTAAAAATGTTAACTAAGCAGGGGTGAAAAAAGGCTAGCTCTTGACCATCCTCCAGCTTAGCTAGTACCTCAGCAAATAGTCCTCATAGTGGAAAGATACATTACACCTTTTAATTTCCAAAATTTTATTTTCTTGGTGCTCATTTATCATAGCAATACCCCAACTTATGTCTCAATGCCTATCACTGCCTATTGATGTGGAAATTCTTTTTCTTCCCCCAGAGCACAGTGTCATTACATTGCCCAGGCTGGATTTAAACTCCAAGGCTGGAGCAATCCTTTCACCTTAGCCTGAGGAGTAGCTGGGACTGCAGGGTCAGGACACTGTGCTGACTCACTTACCTTTTAAATGAAAACAAAATCTTTTGTTATGAGGAGTAGATTAGACCTTGCATAATAAAAGGCACACATAAAACATTGTTCTTAATAACCTTCTAAAAAATGACAAAAAGAGCAGGCAAAGTGCTTCATGCAATGTCTGTGCTGTTAATGCTAGTAGGAAGTTAACTCATACTCGACAGATCAGGTTCATAAACCCAGAACTTTAAAGGCAGAGGGCAAGTTTAAGAAATGAAAACATAAATAACACTCAGTACTTTGAGGTTACACTGGAATTGTAAGAAAATTTCTGGAGTCTTTTTCACAAGATTGCAAAGACTACTTGTTGCCACTTCAGTCAACTTCTAAATTAAAAAAAGTAACAAGAAAGATTTCTATTATCTTTTACTGGATCCCCTTTAAAGAAAAAATATGCTATGCTGGGCACAGTGGCTCTTGCCTGTAATCTCAGCACTTTGGGAGGCCAAGGCAAGCAGATCATGAGTTCAAGAATTTGAGACCAGCTTGGTCAATATGGTGAAACCCTGTCTCTACTGAAAATACAAAAATGAGCCAGGTGTGGTGGTCAGCACCTGTAATCCCAGCTACTCGGGAGGCTGAAGCAGGAGAATTCCTTGAACCTGGGAGGTGGAGGTTGCAATGAGCCAAAGATTGTGCCATTGCACTCCAACCTGGGCAGCAAACAGAGTGAGACTCTGACTCAAAAAAAAAAAAACAAAAAACAAAAGAAAAAGAAAAAATATGTTACCAAATCCAAAAAATAAAAAAATGGTTTATGACTAAAGACTATTAGGAGTGGTATGACTAAAGACTAATCCTGGTATGAGACCAGTATTTTATCACTAAGAATAGATTTTAGGCCAGGCATGGTGGCTCATGCCTGTAATCCTAGCACTTTGGGAAGCTGAAATGGGAGGATGGCTTGAGGCCAAGAGTTACTGGCCTGGTAAACATAAGAAATATTCCATCTCTACAAAACATAAATTTACTGGGCATGGTGGCTTGTGCTTGTAGTCCTAACTACTTGGGAGGCTGAAGTGGCAGGATCTTTTGAGCCCAGTCAGGAGTTCGGGAACTGCAGTGAACCGTGATTGTACCATTCACTCCAGCACGGGCAACAAACAAGACACTCCCTCTCAAAAAAAAAGGAAGATATTATTTTGAGACAGGGTCTCACTCTGTAACTGAGGCTGGAGAGCAGTGGCATGATCATGGTGGGCTCAAGTGACTCCTCCCACCTCAATCCCGTGTAGCTCAGACTACAGGCACATGCCATCACACCCGGCTAATTTTTGTACTTTTGGTAGAGACAGGGTTTCACCATATTGCTCAGGCTGGTCTTGAACTCCTGAATACAAGCAATCCCTCCGTATTAGACTCCCAAAGTGCTGGGATTATGGGCATGAGCCACTGTGCTCAGCCAGAAAGATTTTAAAATGTGCCTAATATCAAAAAGTTTGTAGGAGACAGAAAGGACCTACAAAATAACTAATGCCATACCCTACCAAAAATACTACTCAACACTATATACTCTTAGATTACATTCTATCTGTAATTCAGACTTTAATTAGCAGAGAATTTGCATAGAACTGCAAAATGTTTTACAACGGGAAGAAAAAAGTTAAGTGCCACCTGAAGGAAAGACTGGCGTCCTACTGTGTATACAGGGGCATCATCTTGTGATATTCACTCCTAAGAAAATTCTACTTATTTGTTAAGCTTAATGCCACTGGTAAATAGCTGTCATTCAGCACAAGAAAAGCTTTTTATTTGGGACCTTAAATAGATTTTGTAGTGGTCTCAATTTTTTCCTAAGTCTATTAACTTCTCAATGTTGTATACCTTATAGCTTAGAATTTTCAACAGATGCCATTGGGCATAACAGTGTATAGGTTTCAAGCATGAAACCAAATCTCACAAGAGATTTAAAAGCACTTGAATTTTCTTTCCCAGGTAACCACAACATTTGTTCATTGTATTAATGACTAAGGAAAAAATTGCACCTAACAAGACTCTTATTATACTAAAAGTCAAGCTTGTATTTAAGGATGCTGGCTTGTTGTACAGAGGGTATTCTCATTCCCCACAGGGAATAAAATTAGGTCCCCTGGAGAGGAGAATGATAATTCCCAGAAAGAAAGCACTGGATTATTTCTCTCTGATTTCACCTATTGGCTTTTTAACCAAGTTCACCCTTCCGCATTAAAATATTAAGTCTTTGTAAGTGTCTAAAGATAGAAGGGCCTTTACAGAATTGAGTGTTTTCTGCAGGTGAGATTTTACATTCTGAATTCCCTCCTCTCAAATTACTTTACAAAGGGGATTAACTGCTCTCTTTATTCAGTATGTTAAGATCAAGCTTGTGAAAAGAGTCCCCTAAGAATTTTCATACTTCTGGGTACGGAAGTCTATAAAGTTAATCTCTGAAACAACATATCAAGCTTACAGGTACAATGTTGAGAGAAGAGTGCCAATTCAGCTCATTTTACCTTCCATTTTCCCTTTTGAACTTTTGACACAATCATGATTATATCTGATTCACTCTAATAGAAAGGGGGCGGGGGTAAGGGGAGAAAAGTCCTTTTCCTTCTATGATTAACTAATAGTCTGATAGATTATATACTTTAACAGGATCACTATTAGCTTAAGAAAGTTCTTTTAGTTTTTCTTAACTGGTTATTTCTCTTTTTGTATGAGGACTGCTTTAAAGTCACATCAAGAAATTCGAACATCACTTGCCCATTACATTTGCAGTGGTTAACTTAGCCGTTAAACATCTTCCTGATCATTACAAGGACTTTTAATTCAATGTAACTGATCAAAATAAGTAAGTAAAAAATGCAGGTTTTCTTGTTGTTTGTTTAAAGTACTGAACTATCACTGCTGAAACTCCTGTGATTGGTCACTTTCAACTTATTTAACTTTTATAAAATGACTGAAGGGAGAAGAGGTTTTTTCCTACAGCTTTAGAAGAACTAAACTATTATTTACTGATCATCTACATAAGTGCACCCTGCTAGATAAGGGAGAATCATTATTTATAATGATAAATATAATACAGACCTGGCCCTTACGAAACACATACCAACCAAGGAGGTTAGAAAACAAGCATATAAAAAGTTGACTTTCCATGGTTAAAAATACCACAAACTGGCTGGGCATGGTACTTTAAGCCTGTAATCCCTGTGCTTTGGAAGGCTGAGGTAGGAGGATCACTTGAGGCCAGGAGTTTGAGACTTGCCTGGGCAACATAGTGAGACCCCCTTCTCTATAAAAATATAAAAAATTATCTGGGCAGGCTGGGCACTGTGGCTTATGCCTGTAATACCAGCACTTTGGAAGGCAGAGGTGGACAGATCACGTGAAGTCAGGGGTTATAGTTTACACAATATAACTCAGCCATAGATTAATCAGAAAAGCTATCTAGAATGCAGGACATATAAAAAGTCTCAGGCCGGGCATGGTGGCTCACACCTATAATCCCAGCACTTTGGGAGGCTGAGGCAGGTGGATCACTTGAGGCCAGGAGTTCAAGACCAGCCTGGTCAACAGAGTGAAACTCCATCTCTACTAAAAATACGAAAATTAGCCAGACAAGGTGGCAAAAGCCTGTAATCTCTGCTACTTGGGAGGCTGAGGCAGGAAAATCACTTGAACTTAGGAAGTGGAGGTTGCAGTGGGCCAAGATCATGCCACTGCACTCCAGTGTGGGCAACAGAGTGAGAGTCCACTTCAAAAAAAAAAAAAAAGCTTCAGAACAGTGCAT